TTCCATCATCCAGCCAAGCAGGTACCTGCGCTGTTATGTGCTGCCATCCGGTGTCCATTCAGTAGAATGTCAAGCTGCTGTCTGTGTCAGGGGCTTTTTATTATTTTGGTTTTGGTTTTATTTCACCTTCTTCCACTTCTTCCACTTTACAACCCACAATTTGTTTTAGTAAGTTGTGTGAAGCATGCCACTTGCCTAAAATACTCTGGCAATTGCCCGTATCAAAATCAGTTGTTCTGATGTGAATTTAGCTCTTCTGGTTTTGTAATTATAGTTAGGAACTTTTATCCTAGAAAATATCATGTACTTTGTCAAAATGTAAGCCTTGTTTTCATTTCTTGTCCCTGAATCTATTTTCTGTACTGAAAGACTAGCTGTAATCCCTTACTGATTACCTGGAAGTCTGTAGTGGGTGGAGACCTGCTCATTCCAGGGGCTACTGACTCCTGAATTCCAAAGCTACATTCTTTCTCACATCTTGATATTTTATCTTTCTGTGCAAGAGAGAGAGAGAGAGAGAGAGAGAGAGAGAGAGAGAAGGAGGAGGAGGAGAGGCTTTAGCTGCCTCCCACTGTATAGGAACACACTTGCATGTCAGAAGTTGGCATTGAAGGCAAGACTGGCCACTCTCTACCTAGGAAGAAAAGGTCTAATGTTTCTCCAAGAGCATGCTCTCCCCTCCGAACTCCTTCCATGAGGCTTGGCATAGGAGGGTGTGTGGTCCTGCTCCAAAGACAACTGATCCCTCAGAATGAGTGTGGGATTCAGGGGGCAAATCCCTAAATCTCTTCTGCATAAGTGCATGCCCTTAGGTAGGACACAGTCTCAGCTTGTCTCCTCATTTACGCCAGTGGTCCACCCACCTCGAAGAGCTAGTCATTGAGAGGGCTGGATTCTTCCTATACTTTAGGATCTGTCTCTCAGTTAGTTATAAAAACCCTGCTGTCTGTCTTACTTTACTTTCATCCTTTACTTTTCTTCTCTGCCCTTAGGAATGTGTGGCATACCGTGTACCAAGTAAGAGCCAAAGCAACACCATAGCTCCTGTTGATAGGTTTGAGACATAGAGAAGGATCCCAGCTATCTAGTTGGGTGCTTCTAAGACTGCTAACCCTCTTTAAAGGAATCAGAAAAAAAAATAGTAAGACAGCCCAAATGGATGACTTGTTCTCATAGGCTACAAGTGGTTTTAATATATTGAGGAAGTCAGCCAGGACTACGTTGCTGACATTGGTGATACCCTCAATCAGGCTAGCACTGCTTAAATCTTTAAAACAAAACAAAACAAAACAAAAGTGTATGGTCATAGGTTACAAGGATTACAAGGTCTGTTTTCAGAAAAACTGGACTTGACCTTAAATGTGCAAGTGGTCTTAAGTCATCTAAAGTCTCTCAGCCTGGTTTTCTGTATCAGTACATGGGGATATTAGTAGCATTGTCATTTTGGACCTAAGAGGGTACACTTAAGCTAGACAATTAAACTTTTACTGGTTGCTCAAAAACAATTGTCACTGATATTTTTTAAAGAAATAATGGGAGAAATTGAAGTGAAAAGACCTCTTAAATTTATCTGCTGCTCTTTCTTATCTATTTTGACATGAAATGATTTTCAAGCTGTAGGATTCAGCTGGCGGGGCAGCTTTTCTCTTCATTCTGATACAATAAAGATGATGCCTGGGAGTGACAGAGCCAAGCTATAAAAGCACCAGACATACATATCACACACAGTCATGTGACTAAGCTCCCCAAAACTTAGTGTCTTAAACACTGGTGCTTGTCCTTCCAGCAGGGATACATTTAAAGTGCTACGACAGAAGGGTGACAATACCTGGAATTCATGGACTTCCTGTCTAACCCGCTCCACTTAGAAGTTTAAGGAATGGGAGAGTTTTTCCAGCACGTTCTATAAATGATCAACAGATTCAAAGCAGAACCATTTCTCTAGGAACTTCTATAGATAGGAAGCAAATACGGTGTAGGAGCATGCTGCCAAAAGATAGAAACTATAGTGAGAAGCATAGCAGGTGGATTAAATATGCGTCCATCACGTTACAATTTTTGAGTTCTGATCGCACATGGTCAGGAGGACTGTGATAGAGATGACCAGTCTTGACCAAAGGCCCTAATGTTTCTCACTTGTCTTTTGGAGTCTCCTAATACTGCATAAAGGGAAGGCATTACTGATTCAGTTCACCTTAGGACTGCTGGTATCTACAAAAAGAAATGGGCACTCATCCAGACAGAAAATACTAAGTTTTCTCTTGCTTTCTAACTTTTTATAATTTGATTGAGATTCTGACCAAAGACTGAAGATACATCTGAACACAAAGTGGGCCCAACAACATGGCGTGTCTCATAGTATGAAGTTCTGCATGTGTTTCTTGTGTGTTTGCTTACTCTCTTTCAAGGCAATAGTGTATTATTAAGAAGGCTTCGGGAGGCTGGAAAGACTAATGGCTCAGTGCTTAAGATCACTGGCTGCTCTTCCAGGGGAGCTGTGTTTGGTTCCCCACACCAATGTGTTGTCCGGGTCTGGGTCCACTTCCCTCCTCGCGGCATCCACACAGCGTTGTACACTGGGATGAACTGGAAGAAATGAAGCTTAGGAAGGTGGGCTAGCAGCATCTTGGTCTAGCAGTGAGTGCAGGGACAAAAAGCCTTCTCCTAGATGGTTTTCAGTGAAACAGCTCTCCTCTATTGGGGAAGAACAAGGGCTATATAAACATTGGGGAAGTGGGGTAGGGGGTTTCAGGGAGAGCATACATCATTGGCTGGGGCTGAGTCTGGGAGTATTTTATTTGCATGGAGAGGAATTCTAGGTGCTTGGTTGACACGTCCTTATAAGGAAATCAGGAAGTTTTAACCTGAAACCTGTCCACCAGGTTATGTGACTACCTCTAGGGTCGCAGAACAGGTTGTGAGCACTCCTCACTCCTGTCAGCCTCAAGATGAAGTTTTTGGAGTTTAGACATGTCTCGACCTCACTCTTGCTCTGCCAGCAACCCTAGTTGCCGCCCACAGTGGCAGCTCACACTGTGCTTAACTCTATTTCCCCAGGGCCCTACACTGTCTTCTGGCTCTGCCGTCACAAGGCGTATACACATACACAGACAGGCAAAACATGAATACACATAAACAAAAAGTAAATAAAACCTTTTCGAAAGGAAGCTTCAGGCATGTATGAGCAGCCACAGTCTTTTTGTCAACATTAGCCATACTAAGTCAAAACTGTACCTTGTAGTCAAGGCTCTAGATTCTAAAGGAAAAGTGGAAAGAAACTGCACAAAAATCTTGTGTCTATAGATATGGCATATTGGCATATTTTGTATGGCTTTTCTACTTATCTGAATGAGGGCTTTTTGGAAATGTTTTCTTCACTTTTTTTTTTTAAATCAATACATTTTTTAAAATAACGGTTAAATCTGAGAAAACTGTAACAATAAAATTTATTGGGTAAAACTTGTGCATGTCAATTTTATTGATAGTTTTGCTACCTAAGAAAGGAAACCTTTCCCAACACTGATACACACATACTCCAACTGCAGAAATAATACTGAGTTCAGTCAAAGAAACAAGTAAAACCAAGAAATACAAAAGGAAGAAACAAAACTATAATTTCACCACCTTATTCAACTATGGCTACATGGAAACTCTTTTCCAGGCCAAGGTGCTCATTGATTAAATAAATGTCCATTTAGTTCCTAGATTCTCCAGGTCTCTGTGCTAGGCTCTGAAGATACCCCAATAATGTTGAACTGATTGCTGCTGCCTGAGGGTTTGTATTTTAATGAAGGCAATGAAAGTGAAAAAAAAAATTCAAGTATTTTTTTTAATTCATCATGTTATATGATATGAATGTACTTGGAGGAAAACAATATTTGGACTTCTGATGGATGGAATTAATAATCAGAAGGGGATGAGCTGGGTGAAAATGGTCCTAGGTAAATTACATAGCATGAAGTAAAGTATATATTATGGGCTACGTTGAAATCTTCTCACATGAGTATGCTTAAACATGGGGGTCATTCTTCAAATGTACAGTTCTGTTGTGAGCAATTTTCTTATGCAATTTCTGTTTTTGGACTTTTTATTTCTTTTTACTTTAGTAGCAGAATTACCAAGTAATGTGCAACTCACGTTAATGGTCAGAGCCTTGGAAACCTGGGACCTATTATTTTAAGTATAAACTCAAATTTGTGGAAATAAACATGTCTAGTCAAAAGATCTGTATAAATTTTATAAAATTTATAAAAATATCTTCTTAAATTGTACTCTGGAAGAGGTGGTATGAGAGAATGTATGTAAATTGGTTCTTTTAATACTTGGCAATTTCATGGGAAAGAGGAGAAAGCATGCTACTGTTCCCATTTGTAATTGTTGATTGCTGGTAAGTATCAAAATGATTTTGATTTTAAGAATGATGTATGATCTGATGAGTCTTTCAAATTTGAGATATACTACATTGATGAAAAAGAACAGAGATGGGTTGGCCTCTGACACTTTTTTAGCTTTTTAAAAAAATATATATTTTTATGATTATCATTTATTATAATTTATTCAATTTGTATCCCGGCTGTGGCCCCCTCCTTCACCTGCTCCCAATCCCACCCTCTCTCCCTCATCTCTCCCTATGCCCCTTCCATATTCCATTGCTAGGGGAGGACCTCTTACCCTTCTATCCAACCCTAGCCTACTTTTACTTAAGTGCTTTGGAACTGGGAAGAGGCATATGGGTGGGTATACAGACTAGGGATGCTGATTAGTTAAAGAGCACCTAGGAGGATTTACAAATTGAGAAACTTTTCATTTACATGTCACAATTTTTTAAATTCTAGAGTATTTTTATTATTATCTGAATATTCTGCCACTTGTCAGATTTAAATAGAAGACTTTAAAAAATACTCATTAAAAAATGGTCTGCACTCACTACAGATTTTCTGACATGGCTCATAGATGTTCTTTTCTCGTCATGCATTTATCTATTTTTTTTTTCTCTTAAGGAAAAACTGGTCCACTTCCTGGATTGTTCTTTCTGGTCGAAAAATTGAATTTTACAAGGACTCCAAGCAGCAAGCTCTTCCCAACATGGTAGGTTGTTCTCAGTTTCGTTACCGGCTTTTTAGAAATAGCCTTGAACCAAAAGTGTGGTTTCATCAGCTATCACACTGAAGCCCCTGAGCTACCAACATCTGAAAGCAGATGGAGGAAATGACTCAGTAACCTCTTAATCAGATGAAGGGAAAATGGAACGTAGTGTCTGTTTTATTAAGCGCTGCATTTGGAGAAGATTCCCAAATGAGATAGATGGTGAGCCGCTCTCCGATAATGTGAAGGTAACACTCTAAATTAAGGTGCCATTTATAAGTGCTTTATTCTTATTTATGAAATAATCACTAAATGCTGCTACTTTTCCAAATAACATATTATAGAGCATGTTATAAAATGCATTAGTAATAAATGTTTAACAGATGAGACTATGGGAGGCTGCTTTAAAGAATATTATAAGACGTAAATCGTATTAAACTGTGTATATGCATCTTTAATACATGGATTTAAGTTGTTATCTTGTGTTCTATAAAGTGCCTCGCACATTAATAAATAATAATAAACTGTTCATAAGTGGCACCTTAATATAGGGTGTTACCAATGAGAAAACACTCTAAGTTAACGAAGTGATTTTTTATCTTAGTCTAACGATGACATTCACTATATCCAGCTAACCTTTCTGAATTCATCTTATGACTACACCTAATCAGCTTAATGCAATTTCTGTATCGTGTGGTTATTGCAAAGTGAGATTTGTAGAATTGCTTTATGGTACCTAAAAGAAGGCACCACAGGCCACAGAGTTATGGCAGTGACAGCGGGGCGATTTGGAGTTACTTACTGCTGAAACCTTGACCACAAAAACCAGCTGCCCAAACACAACAGCTACTGCAAGATGCCAGAAAGGGTGGGCAGACTGTCAGGCCATGCTCAGGAAGGGCCCCAGGCCATAACCACTAACCTGCCTTAACCCATTGATCTGATAGGTGGTAGGAAAAGTAGTGGCCTGGTGGAAGGAAACCCTAATGAACTAATTTTTATTTGGCAGGTGATAAAATAATAACAGGTTCTTTGCTCTGCAGCCACTAGTCATGTTTGCTATATAATCCTCTTTAAATAGAAAATAGGAACCCCAGCTAAGGGATGTCTTTTAAAAGGGAAAATTTTAGTAAGAACAAAGGATTTGGCTTGTTTCTCATAATTGCAACCGCCTTCATCTGCTAGTGGCTTACTGATGTCGGAGTCTCAGTAAGGTCCAATCTACAAACTAATTAAGACTAAATTAAAACTATCTTAGTCCTCTGCATTTTAAATCGTTTCAAAAATTTGTTTTAGGGCTTTGTCTTGTTTTTGTTTTTTGGCTACCGGAAGGTTGAGATAATATTTGAAGAAACATAAAATGCCACCTAGGGCTGGGCGTGAAAAACCGCCTTGCCGGGCCTTTGTCTTCTCTTTGAATGTGTTCTACAGGGAAGGTAGAAAGTGGGAAGATGCCAGCCTAGCTGGGCTTGGCTGCTAAGAAGATGATCTTTGTCCTGCTGAGGAAGAAGAATCCCAACTGGAGCTGAGTCACATGGGGATGAGGGGATAACGGGATGGATTAATTCCATGTTAAAGCATTTATTTTATTATTTTTAATCTCCTCATACCAGGAGATACAATTCTCTCAGCTCTTTAATTATGTAAAGGTGAAAGAAAACTCCCTTTTCTATTGCCTGTAAACCTTTCAGGTTAGCTCACTAATTGTATTGCTTCCAATTCAACCTCAGAATTGTTACAAAATGACAGTGGGTTTGATTTGTAAAAGAAATTCATTGACTTCTTTTTTTTCCTTCTTTCTTTTTTCCTTCTTTCTTCTTTTCTTTTTCTTTCTTTAATTTTGGCAGTCCTTATTTATTACTTCTGGCCGCATTCTCAGTACTCTTAGTTTCTTCCAGGCACACATTTCCTTCAAAGCAAATTCTGGGTAGGAGCTAACTGTTCTGTGGTAATGGGGAAGACAATTACAGATCTGTGTTTGTACCGCATGAATTGTCTTGCTAGTCAACTTCTTGGATTCATTTCTAACCAAGTATTAAAGTCCTAGTGGGATAGCTGCATTTACCAACTAAAGCCTCACAGAAACGGTACAATGATTGCCAGGCCTTGATTAAAGATGCTGTGGTTTTATTCTGGAAGGAATTCATGCTCAAGTTTCTGAATTTCCCTTACACCCTTAGCTGAGCCCTCCGTGTTCTCTCTGCTTCTGAGGAAAACCCTGTCCATTCCTCTACCAGGTCTGGAGAAGCTACCATAAGCACTCTAAAGAAGAAGTCATGTTGTAATCTTTCAGAGCCAACTTTGAATGTTAATTCCATGATGAGACAAAGTTCGGGGTGGCTCAGACCCAGAGGACCAGTTCTGTGTGTCACTTAGCAGCTGCCAAAGTCACTCAATTTCTTTTCTGTGCAAATCCTCATAAGAAGGACATTGTAGTTTCCTCAACAAAAATGGCAATGAAAGTAGCTGAGCTGAAGCAAAGGGTCACAACAGCTATGAATGATTACTGATCACCTGTTCTCGTATTTGCCAGTAATGTATGTCCATATCTGAGGCGTGAAAGATGGCTCAGTGGTTAAGAGCATTTCCTGCTCTCTCACAGTTCCCGGTGTCCACATGGCCACTCACAACCATCTGTAATTCTAATTCCACAGACTTTGATGCCCCTGGCCTTGAGTGACATCAGGTGCATAGGTGATGTGCATACATACAGGAAAACGATTAATACACATAAAATAAAAGTAAATATTTTTAAAACAACTGCTTGAAACATTAATACTTTGTTTGGTACATAATATAGAAGGCAGTGCAGTGAAGATGTTATTGTACCGTGTTGATTTTGTAGGAGTTGTTTCACACATTTACAGAATAGATACTATGTAATATATACATATATACATATTTACTCTATATATAGATAGATAGAGAGAGAGAGAGAGAGAGAGAGAGAGGAAGAAGAAGAAGAAGAAGAAGAAGAAGAAGAAGAAGAAGAAGAAGAAGAAGAAGAAGAAGAAGAAGAGAGATGTAGTCTCACTGTGTAACCCTGTCTGGCCTAGACCATCTTACTGTGTAAACCAGGCTGTCTTGGACTTATAGAAAGCAATCTGCCTCTGCCTCCTGAGTTCTGGTATTAAAGGCATGTATCAGCATGCCTGCCTGGAAAGAGTATATAAACTTAAGACTGTTATGCAAGGCTTTCATAAAAAGAAAATTGTATGCATCCAAAGGCAGCAAAAGAATGAAGCAGCTGTCCATCTGGGACTCAGATGTACCTTCCTGAATGCCTGAGAGTGTTTCCAGACTCTATCTTCTTCTGACGATTCTCAGTGCTGCTGCTTGATGGATCATCTCACATAATGCTCTGACTGATCACAAAGCCCACATTTGGCAAAGCTTTTTTTCTCACTGAAGTGTTTTCAGGTTCTGTCTGTCTTTTCCACTTAGGGCTGTTATAACAGCATACCACTGATGGCACATCTTAAACAACAAACACTAAGTGCTCACGATTTTGGAGTCTGGAAAGTCCAAGATACAGGCACTGGTGGATCCAGTGTTCAGTGAGAATGGCCTTCCTTGTGTGTCTCATCTCTTTGTTGTTACCCCACAGGTAGCAAGCACAGCATCCCACCCCCAAACTCAGCTTCTATAGCAGCAAAAGGATTTAGGATTCTCATATGAACATGTTGAATCTACAGCAATATTCTAGTAACATTTCTATCCTGAAAATGTGCCCAGGATCACCTGGCTTTGGGTGCTTAGTGACCCAGTAAAGGAAGCAGAGGACTTTCATTCATTTCAGTGTTTAGAATCAGAAGATCAAATAGTAACCGTTTACCTGGTGTCAGCATTTCATAACAGAAGGACTCTATAAATTGCCAACATTCAAACACCTGGGAGAAAAACAGTGCAGAACAGAAATCAGTCTCTATGGAGAAAGGAGTGGGCCTGCTGTCTACCTGCATCCTGGTCCCTGCTTGCTCACTCACCTCAGATGAAAGCCTGGTCAGTGATGGAGGATGCACTTTGGTCCTGAACACAGTCTAGAAGTGTGTTTTCCATGTTTTCCAACGAAGCCCATTTTATATTCTCTCATTTTATTCTAAGTCTCAGCTAGCTGTGTTAAATTTTCTTACTGTATTCTCCAAATGTCTTAACTTTCTTCTCTTTTTTTCCAAACCCTGTATTTTTGTCTTTTTGAACAGAGTGGGGAGTACTTTTTCTGTGTGTGTCTTTCAGTTCTTTATTTCAGTCTTCTCACGTGATAAACATTTTTTTTCCTAATTTCAAACAGTTTGATTTCTACTTCTAAGAGTTTGTTTCTTTTAATTTATTCAGTCAGCTGCCCTAGTTGCTTGTTTCCTGCAGGTATTACATTTTATTTTGTAAAACCAGGAGGAACGGTGGTTTTATGACTTGTCTTATGATCTAACATCAGTGGTCCAGGGCCTCCACTGTGTTACACGTTTCTGCTGCTTCTCATTCATGCTGTTCTGCTTCCTGATGGTCATTGCTTATCTTTGGCTGTACACTAATCACTGAGACTGAAATATGATCATGGGAAGTTCCCCGTGATTTCGGGATAAATGTGTCCTAATTAGTGTAGTGTTTTGTATTTTCAAAAGGGGTGTGAGACAGTGACTCCTTATCTCAGAGGTGGGTATTGTAGTCTTGGTTTTTATCTGTGTAGTGTCAGGACTACAGAAATACTATAACTCTGCAGAGACAATACTCACTCTTTCAACATTGTAGCCTACCCAACCCTGTGATTCTGTGTTCTGGGAAGCAAAAAGAGAACAATTTCACCACTGGTTCTTGCTTATCCTTTCATAAGATCTTGGGCAGGACTTTATTCCATTACACTGCGAGGCAGAACAAAGCTCGAATGGGTAGTATAAATAAATGACCTTAGAAGAATATGAAATCCTGTTGCCTTGATACTCAGTTTCCCTGTCTAGAGTCCCACTTCACACATACAAATAAAAAATGTACCATGACATTCCACT